GTCAGGCCTGTTTAATCCCAGCACTTGGGAGGCAAGTCTGGATCGCTGTGAGTTGGACACCAGACTGGCCTAAGTGGTGAGTTCCAGGCCAGCCAGAGCTACATAGTGAGACCTTGTCAAAAAAAGGTTTAAAAAGACCCAGGCCCTGCACCCCATCCCTGGGCAGGGCAAGGCACCATAGAGGAACCAAGATACCAGCTTTGGCTGTAACATTACAGGTAGGGAGCTCCCATGAGACGGAGCACCTTGGCCTCACTGAATTGTCTGGGAAACAGGGTTGAGGCAGTGGGTCCAGAAGGCCTCTGTGATATGGTAGAGAAAGGGCTTAGCGTTAAGACCATGAAACCCAGTAGGTAATGGGAGCCAGGCCCAGGGAGGGTGGGGACCCCGGACATAGCAGCAGATGTGCACAAGATTAGGTGCCTCTAGAGGAAATCTAGTCTGGGAGATGTGGGAAGGAGGTTTCACAAATGGCCCTGGACTGTGGGACAAGAGAAGACACTAGAAGCTTAGACAACAGCTGCTTTGAGATGTCACAATGTGAGGAGCACTCAACACGACCTTTCTTGACCTTCACCCAGTCACACCCCACCCCCCAAACCCACTGACATGGCTTTGGTGCCTGAACCACAACCACAGGCCCTTGTTACAGCAACAGGCTGTACTCTTAGCTAACCAAGTACAGAGCTCAACAAACACACTACAGACAAGTCTCCAAAATACTCAAAGAATCAAGGAAACTGATCAGCTAATCAAGTTCTGGGAAAAGATCTATGCTCACTAGTGATTAAAAGTAATGAGCCCTCGGTTGGAAAGATGGCTCAGCAGTTAAGAGCACTGACTACAACGATAACTCCAGTTCCAGGGGATCCAACGCCCTCTTCTGACCTCGGTGGGCATTGTACAGCACAAGTGCACTTATCTACATGCAGGCAATATACTCATACACATAAAAATAAAAATAATAAATAAATTTTTAAAAAAAAAAAAGAAAGAAAGCTGGGGCTGGAGAGATGGCTCAATGATTAAGAACACTAGTTGTTCTTGCAGAAGACCTGGGTTCAACTCCCAGCACCCACATGGCAGCTAACAACTGTCCGTAACTCCAGTCCCAGGGGATCTGATAGCATCTTCTGACCTCCGAGGGCAATGCACAACATAGGTGCACTTACCTACATGCAGGCAATACACTCATACACATAAAATAAAAATAATAAATAAAAAAAATTTTTTTGGCTTTTTGACACAGGGTCTCCCTGTAGCCCCAGCTGTCCTGGAACTCACTATGTAGACCAGGCTGGCCTCGAACTCACAAAGATCCACCTGCCTCTGCCTCCAAAGTGCTAGGATTAAAGGAGTGCGCCACCATGCCCAGCAATAAATAAAAGTTTTAAAAAAAGAAAAAGAAAAAAGAAATGAAGTCAGGCATGGTGGCACAAGACGTTAATCCCAGCACTCCAGAGGCAGAGGAAGGCAGATCTCTATGAGTTCAAGGCCAGCCTGGTCTACATAGTGAGTTCCAGGGCAGTTGGGGCTACAGAGAGACCCTGTCTCAAAAAGACCGATAAATAAATAAGTAAAAAAGAAATAAGCCCATTGCAGTGCCTTGTCTTCCCAGCACTTGGGAAGCTGAGACAGGAAGATCACAGTTTGAAGATAGCTTGGGCTATATGTTAAGTTCAAGGCCAGTCTTGGCTATTACAGCAAGACCTTGTCTCAAAAAAAGAAAAAAATAAATGGGTTGGGGAGATGGCTCAATAGATAAAGTGCTTCTCATGCAAGTACAAACGCCAAGTTTACATCCCCAGAATGACAGATGCAGTAACAAGCTTACCATGAGATGGGAGGTAGAGACAGAGGAATGCCCCAAAAGCTCACGGTCCAGCCAGCCTGATGTACACAGCAACGAAGAGACCCAGCCTCAAACAAGGAAGAAGGCGAGGATCGACACCCAAAGCTATCCTCTGACCATATCACATACATGCCCCACTCACATTCTCACACACACACACACACACACACACACACACACACACACACAAGACAAGGAAGAAAAAGGAAGGGTCAGCAAGATGGTTCAAAGGGTAAAAGCACTTGCTCTGCAAACCTGATGACCTGAATTTGATTGCCCTCCAGTTTCCACATGTGAGCCCAGACCAGCACATACCCAGTCATCTCTCTCTCTCTCACACACACACACACACACACACACACACACACACACACTAATCAACAATTTTTTTAAAAAAAAGAAGAAGCCAGAGAGTTGATGAGATGGCTCAACAGGTAAAGGCACTTGCCACCAAGCCTGAACACATGACTTCAGTCTCACAAGGAGGAAGTAGAGAGCGGACTCTGGAAAGTTGTCCTCTGACCTCTACATGCACTACACACACACACACACACACACACACAAAATGGATGGATGGAGATAGATAGATGGATGGATAGAAAATGATAAAGGACGATGGACGGACATAAAAAAAGTTCTAGGCCAGGTGTAGTAGCCATGCCTTTAGTCCCAGCACTCAGGAGGCAGAGGCAGGCGGATCTCTGTGAGTTCAAGGCCAGCCTGGTCTACATAGTGAGTTCCAGGTCAGCTGGGGCTACAGGGAGACCCTGTCTCAAAAAGACCAAAAAAAAAAAAAAAGTTCTAACTACCTAATTCCAGTGTTCAAAGTCAAGATCTTTAAGACCGACAAAATCCTAGCCTTTATCATTCACAAACATTCACTCTTTCATTCACCTGTTTATCCAACACTTACTAAGTGCCAGGCCCCATGATGACCCATGACCAGAAATACTGAAATACGGCCAGGTGTGGTGATGCATAGCATTCAGGAGGCAGAAGCAGGTAGATCTCTGTGAATTTGAGGCCAACCTAGTCTACATACATAGTGAGTTCCAGGCCAGCCAAGGCTGCATCATGAGACAGACACCATCTCTCAAAAAACGGCCTAGTTCCACCTCCCAGGACTTAGAATTGAAGGCTTTAAGGTTAGTCTATTCCTTGGAACCTCTATTCATAGAAAAATGACTCAAAACATCGTGGAGGTCTGCTATGCACAAAAATATTCCATGCAGCGTTCTGAACACAAAACATCAGAGCAGGGAAAGACTTGAAATGCCCACCAGGGAACTGAGACCTGAACCACAGCACCTGCCGGTATGTGCGCTCCACGGAATATTAAAGGCCATAAAAAAATTGATACTTAGAAAGAGTCAGCCATCACAGGGGGAAACAACCCACATTGTGATATGGGAACAACTCATGAGACCAAGATTGTGCACGCACTAGCAGCTCCACAGGTAGACACAAATTGCACAGGAAAATAAATTCAGGGAAAGCTACGAAAGTGTTTGGGGTGCTGGGAAAATATAATGGTCTTTTTCTTCATCCTCCTTTCCTGCACTCTCCACTCTATGTGAATAGGAAAGGCAATGAAAATTTCAATAGCAGTCTTGGCGCACAAGTGGGAAAGCCTAGAGCTGGAAGGGAGGCGGGTGAGGGTGTAAGGGAATGGAGGTGCAGGAGACCAGAAGGAAGACAGTTGGGCAGAAAGAGTCAAGCTGTGGGACTGGGGAGAGGAGTAAGAAGACTCAAATTCCAATCCCTAGAATCCACGTAAAGCCAGATGTGGTAGCACACATCCCTAATCCCAGTGCCCCTAGATTAGATGGGAGGTGGAGATTTGGGAGTCCCTGGAATCTCAAAAGCCAGCTAGCCTGGAGTAAATAGTAGCACAGAAAAAGGAAGCCTGTCTCAGTCAGCGAGATGGCTCAGTGGGTAAAGTTACTTGTGACCAAGCCTGAAGACCCAAGTTTAATCCCTTGGACCCACATGGTAAAAGGAGAGAACTGCCTTCCACACAAGTTGTCCTCTGACCCCAACAAGTGCACTGTGACAAAACTTACAAATACACACACACACACACACACACACGAAAATTAAAAAGTCAAGGAGCTGGAGAAACGGCTAAGTGGTTAAGAACGCATGCTGCTCTTGCAAAGGACCAAGGCCTGGGTTCCCAGGACCCACATGCAGGCTAAAAACCATCTGTAACTCCAGTTCCAGGGAATCCAATGCCCTCTTACATACATCCAGGCAATATACTAATACACATAAAATAAAACTGTTTAAAATAAATAAATAGGCCGGGCGTGGTGGCGCATGCCTTTAAATCCCAGCACTTGGGAGGCAGAGGCAGACGGATCTCTGTGAGTTCAAGGCCAGCCTGGTCTACATAGCGAGTTCCAGGACAGCTGAGGCTACAGGGAGACCCTGCTTCAAAAAGACCAATAAATAAATAATAAATAAATAAATAAATAAAGTTTTGAGAAAATTTTAAAGTTAAGACTGGGGCTGGGTACAACCAGTTACTAAAGAAGCAAGGGGATCACAAGTTCAAAACTTGTCTATTTAGGCTATAATCAAGTTCAAGGCTGGCCTGGGAAACTTAATGAGACCCTGTCTCAAAATAAAAACTCCAAAACAAAACAGGGGCTGGGGATATAGTTCAGCTGGTAGAGGATCTGCCTAGAATGCAGCAAGTCCAGGATTCAATCCCCAACACTGCATAAATGAGGTGTGGTAATGCAGTCTGTAATCCCTAAACTTAGAAGGTGGACACGTCAAAGCTGGCTTGAGGCCAATTTGGGCTATATGAAACTGTCTGAAAAAAATTTTTTAAGTAGCCAAGTGTCCTGGTACACATTTTTAATCCAGTACTAAGACAGAAACAGAGGGATCTCTGTGAGTTTGAGACCAGCCTGGTCTACATAGTGAGCTCCAGGCCAGCTGGAGCTACATAGTGAGATCCTGTCTCAAAGAACAAAATATATAAACAAACAATAAAATATGAATATTAAAAACAGGTTGGGAAGGTGCTTAGGATGTAGTCAATGGCAGAGCCCTTGCCTTGCATGCACGAGACCCTGGTTCAACCCCCAGAACCACCCAAAACACACTGGAATAAGAAGAATAAGAGCCCAGCACTTACCTTTGACATTGCTCAGCGACAAAGACCGTTCCTGGTCAGGCAGCCCAGGCCCCAGCCGACTGCTGCTCCCACTGTCCTTCTGCCGGGCCACAGCCACAGCAATGCCCACAGGCGGGTGCCTCACTTCAGCCTCCCCCTGGGCACCAGAGCCCTCCCGTCCAAAGGTCTTGGCGCTGTCGGGCCTTTCTGGGTCCCGCTTCAGCTGCCGTCCCCCTCCAGCTGTAGGGACCCCAGGGTGTGAGAGGCGGGCCTGGGCTCTGGTGGAACCTGTAGATGTGGGTGTAGGTTCAGGCTTCATGGTGCCCAGGCCTCCAAAAGGGCTCTTCTTGCCACAGCCACCGGGGCGAACGGCCACCGCCTCCCGAGCAAAGCTACCACTGTATTTGATGAGGCTCTGCATAGCAGAGGCCTCTCCGGGTCCATGGGCTGCAGAATGGAGGTCAGTACTGGGCCTGCCGCAGGTGGCCGCAGCACGGGGCATTGTACCCCCTGGGTCCAGGTAGACTTTCTTGGAGGCTGTTGTGACTGCTGCCTCCTCCTCTACCCGGCTGGCATGGTGATGCTGGGCAGCCAACACAGCCATCTGAGTGGTGGCAAAGTTACCCAGCTCAAAGGGTTTCCATTTGTGCTCAGGCCCAGTGGGTGCAGGTGGCCTCGATGGCTCCAAGCCAAAGAGCTTGGCAGCCTGCTGGGCAGCAGCGATGCTAGGACCTCGGGGTGCACACTCACAAGGCCTTGGATCGGCCTCTGGCTTAGGTAGTTCCTTGGGGGGCAGGTAGGCACGGGCATCTGGAGAGGCCCGGGAGGAACGGGCTGGAGGTCCATCGGATGGAAGTGGACGTTTGAGGGAACGGATGACAGAGCTCTTCTCCCGGAGGACTTCAGGTCGTTCTGGTCGTGGGGATCCTGGTGGACCTTGCAGGACCCCGGGACGACCTGGATCTCGCTCCCGAGCCCGGGCATCTCGGGCCTGGGATGCTATTTGGATGGGTCCCACACGCTCATCGAAGGCCTCCACAGAAGGCACAAAGGTAGGTGCCACCACGCGGTGCTCACGGCCTGGTTCACGGAACACCGTGTAGACACCAACAGGTGCTGAGGCAGGGGGAGCAGGGGGACCTTTGGGGGGTAGTGGCGGGGGTGGTGGCAGTGGAGACCCACAGGGCCTTGATGTGGGCAGCAGGGCCTCAGCCCTCCGCAGCAGCCGAGCACTCTCTTCCTGCCTGGCCACCTCCTTGGACCCTCGGCCCAACTCGGCCACCAGCCCCGTGTCCACTACACCGTTACACAGGCTCAAGGCTGATGGCTGCAGTGCACCTTTGACCTTGGCCTCGGTCAAGAAGGGAGACAGACGTTCTGCCAGGCGTGGAGGCCCACGGTCCTGGCGACCCTCAGCCCGGGGCTCCTGGGTCAAGTCCACCACTCCACGAGGCCCGGACACCTCCTCCCGTGCCCGAGGGTCCTTCTTGCCAAACAACGGAGGCGGATCTCCACCCCGGCCTGCACGATCCTTTCCTGCACCTTCCCGGGAGGAGCCTTTGGATGGAACCCCTGAGGAATGGCCACCGGGGGTTCTAGAAGAAGTCCCGTGAGAGTGCAAGGTTCCAGGCGCAGGCAGGTAGAAACCGTCTAGAGAAAAAGGCACACAGTGAACTCAGATCACCACCCACTTCTAACCATCCAGGTGCTCTCCCTCCACCCGAGGGTGCCCTGCCACCAGGAGACATAACCGTTTTGTGGGCAGCACTAGGAATGGTTAGAAAACTAGTTGAAATCTGGTTTTTAGCCCTTCTAATCCTCCCCTGCCTCAGTTTCCTCAACTGAGGAAGAAACACTAAGGGCTATTCTCAGAGCTACCCAGAGGGTATCAAAAGGCCAAAGGTACTAAACATTGTGGTGCATGCCTTTAATCTCAGCACTCAGGAGGCAAAGGGCTGGTGGTGCTCTAGGCCAGCCTGATCTGCATAGTGAGTTCCAGGCCAGCTAGGGCTATAAAGTGAGACCCTATCTCAAAAACAAACAAGACCCAATAATCCTTGGTGGGAGGTCTTTGAGGCTGGGTCTCAAAATGACATCTTGAGGCCTATCCCTAATGTAATCCCAGGAGTTACAAGCAGGAGGATTCGATTAAGGCTATCTTCAGCTACATAGCAAATTTGAGGCCACTGTGGACTACATAAGGAGAGAGGGGGAGAGAGAGAGAGAATCTTGAATCACAGTCTTTAGAAAACAGAAAGGGAAGGAGGGACATCCTGAATCATGGTCTTAGGAAACAGAAGTAGGGGGCTGGAGAGATGGTTCAGCACTTAAGAGCACTGGTTGTTCTGGCAGAAGGCCTGGGTTCAAATCCCAGCACCCACATGGTGGTTAACAACCGTCCATATCTCGTTCCAGGGGACCTGATGCCCTTTTCTGCCCTTTGCAGGCACCGAATGACATGGGTGCACTTAGATACTTTCAGGCAAAACACTCATACATACAAATAAAATAAAAAATACACACAGGTAAAAAAAAAAAAAAAAAAAAAAAGATCTGGCTTAACATTTTTTTGTTATGTTGAAAAAAAAAAAAAACATGCCTTGTTATCACATCACTGGGGAGGCTGAGGCACGAGGATCCAGAGTTTAAGGTTTGCCTAGATTATATAATGAGAACATCTCTCTGGTTGGGGGTGGGGGTTAAAAGAGGAAGTGGGGATTGGCTCAGCAGCTAAAGGTGTCTGCCACCAAGCATAAGGCCTGTGTTTGATCTCTGGTCCTCAAGGTGGAAGGAGAGAACCCATTCTTGTAAGTTGTCCTCCGATCTCCATACCCATGGCCCCATACCCACATTCATACAAAAATAATGAACAAAAATGTTAGAAAATTATTCAAGCCTTTAATCTCAGGAGGCAGAGAGACAGGGATCTCTGTGAGATCAAGGCTAGCCTGGTCTGCATAGCGAGTTCCAGGTGGGCTGAAACAAGGGAAACCCTGTCAAAACAAAAAACAAAACAAAACAAACCCAAAACCAAATAACTCATCCCCAAAACATTCAAGCCTAGCACAGTGGTGCATACCTTTAATCCCAGTACTCAGGAGGCAAAGGCAGATAGATCTCTGTGAGATTGAGGCCAACCTGGTCTACATAGTGAGTTCCAGGCCAGCTGGGTCTACAGGGAGACACTGTCTCAAAAAATAAAGAAAAGAAGGGAAAGAAAGGAAATACTGATAAAAGGGTTTGAGGGACTAGCTCAGTGGAAGAGCACTTACCTAGCACTGGCAAGGCCCTGGGTTCCATCCCAAACACCCCCCCAAAACAGGAAAAAACAGGGGAGGTATCTGGAATATTGGGCCCACAAAGCAGCCCCTCAGAAAGTCACTGCCTCCCCTCCCTGCTCCCCATAGTCCCATCCCCTTCTGCCCCCTGACCTTTCTGGGTGTCGAAGATGCTGGGCTGGCCCAGCTGGCTGAGGAGGGGGCTCCCACTGCTGGGGGGCTCCAGGTGGTTCAGATGGAGGTAGGATGGGTACAGCCCACTGGGCAGGTGGGAAAAGCCTGAGGAAACAAGACAGAGAGGCTGTACCAGTCACACCTGGCATAGGGAACTTCCTTCTAGTATTTTCTTTTCCTTGGAAACAAACCACTACTGCCCTCAGTCCCTGAGTACAAGACGCTGAGCACTTAATACCAGTTCCCAGGATGACAACTGCCCCTCCCAAGCCCTGTTTCCTCAGCCTTTCTTTGGGGCCCAGGAAGCCCTCCAGGAATTTGGGTTCAAGTTCAAATCTCCCAGACATAGAACCCTACCAGAAGAGGACTTGGAGATCTGAACATCAAAAACCACCTTGGGACGGCCACACTCATATTGTCTCATTTAACAGATTTGAAACTAAAAAAACAAAAACTAACACTCAAAGTGGACCACCTGCCCAAGAAGGAGGTCCTATGGCCCATTAGCCTGGCTTTGAACTGAGGTCACCTGATCCTATAGCCTAGACCCTTAATCTCAGCACAATGAGGACCCTGGATGAATGGTTTTCATGGGCCTCTTTATTGCATGTTGAACTGGTTGCTTGCCTTCTCTGAACACATACACCAGGCATCTCCAGCCCCCAGGTCTCACAGACAGGACCTCCCTAAAGGACTCCTTGGTGATGAACAGAGACACCTAAAGGCAGGTAGGGAATAAAGGTAGGATACTGGAGGCCAGAAAGGTAGGCGCTGGGAGGCGACACAAAAGTCCTGATGTCCTTCCTGGGATTGGAGCTATACTGGAGAACCATAAGGGACCCAAGTCCCTCTGCTCCCAGTTGCAAGATTTGTCCTGGCCCAGGGGCTACGTCACTTCCCCAAACCACATACCACCACCCAGGGGCTATGTCACTTCCCCAAACCGTGTACCATCACCTGATACCCAGAAGCTATGTCACTTCCCTGTGCCATCACCAGATAAACCACTGACTTTAACCACCACAACATAAGGCTAGAGATATAGTTCATATGGTATAGTGCTTAGGAAAGCACCAGAAAGTACGCACAAAGCCCCGAGTTTGATCCTCAGTAGCACCCACCCAAATTAAACTAAATTACATTAAATAATAAAACGGGTAGCACTCAGGTGATACAGGCCTATGATCCAGCTACTTGGGAGGTTGAAGCAAGTTCAAGGCTAACCTGGGATGCAGAATTAAGTTCAGGCCCGGCTTGGGCAACTTACTGAGATCCTGACTCCAAATAAAAAATAAAAAGAGCCAGGTATGGTGGCGCACGCCTATAGTCCCAGCACTTGGGAGGCAGAGGCAGGCGGATCTCTGTGAGTTCGAGGCCAGCCTGGTCTCTACAGCGAATCCAGGCCAGCTGCAGCTACAGGGAGACCCTGTCTCAAAAAGACCAGAAAAAAAAAAAGCAAAAAGAGACATAAGAGGGCCAAGGAGATGACTCAGTGGATAAAGCTGCTTGCAGCCAAGCCTGATGACCTGAGTTCAAGCCCCAGGGTCCAAACAGTAAGAGATAACTGAATCCTGTAAGTTGTCCTCTGATCTCCACATGCATGCTGTGGTGTGCAATGTGCATGCCCACATACAAAATAAATAAATAGATAAATAAATAAATGTAAAACTGAAGATTTACTTTTTTTCAAAATTTTTTTTTTTGAGTCAGGGTCGCCCTGTAGCCCCAGATGGCCTGGAACTCGCTATGTAGACCAGGTTGGCCTTGAACTCAGATTATCTGCCAGTCTCTGCCTCCCGAGTGCTGGGATTAAAAGTGTGCACCACTACGCCCAACTTTATTTAAATTTATTTATTTATTTATTTGTTTATTTATTTTTGGGCTTTTTGAGACAGGATTTCCCTGTAGCCCCAGCTGTCCTGGAACTCAAAGCCTTTGCTCTAGGGACAAGACTCCCTAGAACATCTGCTTGCCACAAAATAGACTGATTTTGTTTGTTTGAACTCTTCTCTTTTTTTTTTTTGGTCTTCTTGAGACAGGGTCTCTTTGCTCCCTGTAGCCCCAGCTGTCCTGGAACTCACTATGTAGACCAGGCTGGCCTTGAACTCAAAGAGATCCGCCTGCCTCTGCCTCCCGAGTGCTGGGATTAAAGGCGTGCACCACCACGCCCAGCCTATTTTATCATTTTTAAACTACAAGTACGTGTGGATCTGTGTGAGGGTCTGGGCATGTGAGTGCAGTATCCCAAAGGCCAGAAAAGGGAATTGGATCCCCTGGAGCTGGAGTTACAGATGGTTATGAGCTACCTCACGTAGGTGCCAGGAACCAAATCCGAGTCCTCTAGAAGTACAGGAAGTGCTCTTAACTGCCTAGCCACCTCTCCAGCCCCAAATGTAAAGTTTTGGGGTTTTTTTAATATTTTATTTTTATTGTTTTTATTTTATGTGTATGTGTGTATTGTCTGCATGTAGGTAAGTGCCTGGGTCCTCTGCAATAACAGCCAGTGTTCTTAACCACTGAGCCATCTCTCCAGCCCCCATAAGGTATTTTTTAGAAGAGAGAACTATGGGCCAGACATGGTGGCACACACCTTTTTTCCCCCAGCACTTTGGAGGCAGAGGCAAGCCAATCTCAGAGGCCAGCCTGGTTTACATGGCAAGTTCCTGGCCAGCAGAGGCTACAGAGAGAACCTATCTCAAATAAAACAAGAGAGAGAGAGAGACAGAGGGAGAACAACACACGTAACTACCAAAAAAATATTTTTAAAGTCAAAGTAGTGGCTTCTAAAATCCCAGCACTTGAGGGGCAGAGGCAGGAGGATCCCCAAGTTCAAGCCCATTCTTGGCTACACAGTGAACTCTAGGCCAGCCAGAACCACATAGGAAGACCGAGTCTCAAAAACAAAACTACAACCACAAAAATCACCAAACAGAACAAACCACCTGGAACACAGTATCACGTTTAAACTTGGAGTCAGGGCTCTGACGCAGGCATTCAGGCCCCTCTGTCCACATACGTAAGATGGGCACACTGGTCCATTCCTCAGGCCGGTTCTGAGGGTGGAGAGGGTCCAAGAACACAGCCCCAGGACACAGTCACGTAAGCACGTGTTTGGCGTAGTTATTAGTCACTCAGAGAAGACTAAAGGGACAAGCTGGTAGTACAGTCACCTGAGGTGACCTGTGCTCTTCCAGTCCCTGGTCAGCACTCACCCCAGCTGATAGTAGGGGAACTCAGTATGGGCACCACCTACAAGAGCTGCCACCATCCCAGCCCATGGTCAACACCGAGCAGAAACAACAGTCTTCTTTTTGTTTGCTTATTTGTTTGTTGAGACAGGGTTTTCTTAGCCCCACCTGGTCTGGAACTCATTGTATAAACCAAATCACAGAGGTCTGCCTGCCTGGCTCCCATGCGCTGTGAATTAAGGGGTATTCACCACTGTGCCTGGCTGACATTGCCCTCTTGGTGCAACGTGCAAACTCCCATTCCTGGATTGGGGTGCCTGTCCCAAAGAACCCAAGGGCATCAGTCTCGGTGGCCTCCTCCGTACAGCAGGGATTATGCTATAAGTCCTGTGGCTGGGGACATTTCTAGCTGTAGTTGGGCAACATGCACCAACCATAACCCCATGCCAGCGGAGTCAAGGTGCTGATGGTGGGCATTCATTTTGTCTACAACCCCAGGAGGCAGGGAACATCCCTCAAGCAGGAAATGGGGGCCTCCCAACAACCCAAATCTGCCAGAGCAGGGGCAGAGGAGGCCACTCAGGCCCCTGCCTTCACAGACAGAGAGATGGGGCTGCAGGAGATCAAAGATGGGCTCAGCATGGGACAGAAACCAGGCTGGCAAAACTCAAACTCAGGGTAGTACTGTAGAGCTCCTATCAGAGAGGCTAGGAAGAGCTGGAGCTCAGTGGTTGAGCCCTTGCTTTGCAAACATGAGGCCCTAGGTTCAACCCCCATTACTGCCCCCCCCCCAAAAAAAGCCAGGATACAGGTCCCACGGCTCCAGATTCATTGAAAATACATCAACCCCTGCCCTCATCACTCATACCAGACAATCTGGGAATCACACAGAACAGTGAGGAGAGTAGGGACCACTTGATTCAGCCCCTGAAGGAGGAGCCAGTGGGCTGGGGTGAAGAGCTGCAAGCAGAGACATAAATGGCTCAGGCAAAGGCCCTGTGGTCCCAAGATTAGCACAGGGTACTTGAGGGACAACAGGGAGGCCACTTTGAGAAGGATGTTGAGGTGTTGCTAGAGACATAAATTGCCATCAGTTTGGAGACAGTGGCCCAGCAGCCTCAGCCCCTCCCGCCTGGCCCACTCCTTACCTTCATGGGCGTGGGCACCCCAGAGCTGCACCATGGGCAGGTTGCTGGGGGTGGGGGAGTGGAAGGAGAGGGCAGAGGGCAGGGGTACCGGGTTCCCCTGAGACGAGGCCGTGGGCCCCATCCTGTTGGCCACAGAGCTGCCCAAGAAGGCCTCGCCTGCAGAGAAAAGGGGAGGCGGTGTGTCCAGTCAGGTAGTCAGCAAACCAGACTGGACCACCTGGACCACCACCCCAAGGTCCCCCACTGCCTGAATCCTTCATTGGCAGGGTGGGGCCCAAAAGGCAACCCTGGCCAGCCCCTGCCACACCTTAGGGGCTTAATCATCTCAACCTAATTCAAGCAGCAAAGGGCTAGAGAAAAGTGAGGTCAAGGAAGACGGCCCAGACTTTCCCAGGGGCCCAGCACCCCCAGAGGATAGTTTTACCATCCAAGCTGCAGAACAGTGCCCAAAGGATGCCCTTCAAATCTACAGATACAGTAGGGAAGGGGGGGCGGTCCCTCAAGATGGACCCAAGACCACAGAGTAAGGAGGTCAATGGTCAGGGCAAGATACCCTCCACCAGAGACTGACTTCCCCAAGGATCCCACAGTGACCCAGGATGCTGTTCAGCAGCTGTGTGTGCCCACTGAACAGACAGATGGGGAAGATAAGGCCCAGACAGGAAAAGCCTAGGGGCACAGCCAAGGAGGGAGACTCCCTGCACACTCAACCAGACATCCCTGAGCCCAGCCTGAGAGTCAGGATCTGCTAACTGAGTTTCTTAAGTGA